CCAAATTCCACCATCACAGGAGAATACGTGGGAGAAAACATGCAACCAAAGGCAATAAAATAGCAATAAAACAGCTTTTCAGATGATAAAACACCTTTGGTGCATTTCAAGCTACAATCTGAGTGTGAAGTCACAGGCAGGAAACAAAGGCAACTGTAGGCATTTTGAGAGACTTGCAATGAAGTTGAGAAATCTTTGGACTAAGCAGGAAGTGCTTTGAAGCAAGTGAGGCTCTAGACCAGTGTGGGAGTCCAGCTGTGCGGCTACAGTAAAGGACCAGAGCTTGTAACTAGTGATTTCTGCAGTCTTACTAAGATAACTTTTTCTTCTTTTCAATTTTTACCTACAGGTGTGACAATTAGGTAGGAAAAGCAAACGAAGATAAGACTAATGAAGTTTTTTGGAAAGCCAAAGAAATCTCCTATGGGTGATACTGTAAACCAGACAATAATTCAAGTGTCAAGTCACCCTCCACCCCCACACTGTACGTGCTCGTACAGTCACCTCACATTAGCAAAGCAAGCTGTTAAATTATGCTGAACTTCAGGACAGATTTCCAGCAAGAACATTTCACACAAATCTTGCTTTATGTTTGTAAAGCACCTACTGAAACTCTGGACATAACAGGTCAAAAGCATTCAAAAGAATTGCAACGTGCTAATTAAAACTAATCTGCAAGTCCAACTGGAGTGAATCTCTACTTACCATCTGTAGAGTGCACATGAGAGCTGCCTATCTGATCCACCAGCAGCATGAAGACAAAGCCAAGGACAAGGGATACACCAATGTAGGCGTGCAACCTGGAATGGTCGTGGCCATACTCGTGTACAACCGGGATTTCCGCCACTTTCTCGGACTCCATCACATGCTGCATCTCGCTCGCTGGGTGATGCTTCCCTGTGGCAGGCAAGCAAACACATTAGGAGACAGGGTACTAAATATGGCATGGTCACTTCTCTCCTCCTTGGCTGAAAGCGTTCCTCATGCTTTCTCAGACAATACACAAAAGTCCTCATTTAAGGTCAGTCTTAGACCATTCTCTTATGGGAGCACACATTTGTCTGGTTGATAAGCCAGGCCTTAAATGCTGCATTTTAAATACAAATTGATTGATAAAAATTGCTGAATGTCTTTTTTAATTGAAGTTGCTCATTTTTTTTCAGTATTCAGAGATACTGTCAAGCAGTTAAGTCGGAGTCTTCATTTAAGTGAGAAAATACAGGATGAGGAGATGAAACAGGTTCCATCCACGAAGAGATCTAATGAAATCTTCCAAGACATTATCTTTGTATCTCAGAGCATCAGTCAAGATGAAGGACTTTCTTTTTACTGCTAGCCATATCATTGCAAGAAAAATTTCACCTGCTTAAAACTGACCGGAGAGCAAACCCACAACTACAGCTCATTAGAGACACCTTACACCAGAGGCCACACATTGCAGCACAGTATAAAAGCATAATCAGATGTTCTATCACTTCTTGATAAAGGATGATTTTATGTATTATCTTCTGTTTACTTGAAATCTAAGCAGAACAACATAAATTCAGTGGAAACTAAAACAGGATAAATTGAAGCATGTTACTAGAAAGAAATTTAAAACAGTGAAGAAACAAGGAGAAAATGAAAAACAAGAAAATCGGAGTATTACAATTATCTCTTAAATAGCAACAACGGTACGTCAGACATTTGTACAGTCCTCTAGAGCCTCAACTTTATGGTCCTTTCTCCTGTGACCACTAAGTGTCTGCTGTTTACTTTCAGACAAATTTCTGATTCGGAGCATACTGGGAAAATTCCACGCATACAATGGCAATGTAATAGCACACGGCTCCACACTAAAGCAAGATTTAAAGTGTACTCCCAGCAGAAGTAATGAGCTATATTTAAAATAATGTCATAACCTCAAATCGAGGTTTACTAAAGCTTGAAGTAAACTGTAAGTGCTCCACACTCATGCCCCTACAAGACACGCAATCACTGTTAGCTCTGAGATATCTATTAGAGGCTATGAGGTCTTGAAGACCAGCAACAACAGACTAGAAATGGATGCCTGAACTTGGATCCACATGCAGATATCTACGTGTAAGGGACACCATCCAAGAAGGAAATGCCTCCTGTTCTGTGAATTAGCCCTATATAACCATAATTTTCAGCCAAGTATATTAAAGTAACTTAATTCCATGACACTCTTCAGTTTCAAAGGAGGAAGTTCTCATGAGGGCAAGTATGCATGGATCTATAAACCACTTTCTGCAATTGCTGTAATGAGAAGCAATCTAAACTGCAAAAAGCCACAGCAAATAGTTCACAATTTATTTCTCTGCCAAAGAAATCATTACACCTCCTCTGAAGTTCCAGTAAAAGTTAAAGTTTAACTCTCCCCAGAATAAGGGACACTACAGATGACCCGGCATAAAAGGCTGTGGTTCCATCAACAGTGCAGTACCTGGCCCTGCAAACGACTGGATCCCCCAGCAAGAGTCACCTGATCCACAGCCTGATCACATCTCTTCATCAAATCACCATACACCTACAATATCATGCCTATGGCAGCTTTGTGATTCTATGTCAGCTCTGTGTCAACGTTGCTGCAAAACCCTCCCACCAACCTCATGCTTTTTAAAAGCCCTAGGAACAAGCCTCAGTGTATCATAACACAAGTTATCTTGAACAAGGCCACCTACAGACACGGGTTTGGTTCTTACCCTCCAAAATGTCTTCATAAAGTGCATGCACTCCTTCTGGCACAATGACAGCCAAGGCAGTTCCACACAGCAGCCCAGCACCCAGAACAGTCACCAACTTCAATCTCTCCTGCAAGCAAGTACAAAACAAGAATCATCTTTAAGAATGAAAACACTTTCTTTACTCTTCCTCATTAACAGGGCTGGGGCAGGGGGAAGGTGGGGGGAAAAGAGAGTGAGCCACAGAACCCCTTGCTGATTTTCATTGAAGAGCCCCAGTTGTGTAGTCCTACATTTCTAACAATTATCTTATCGAAAAATGAACATATCCAGAGCCCAATGCAATCAACTGAAGGAGGAAATTAAAGTTAAAGGTGACCCATTTGACTGTTAACATCAGACAGGAAATTAAACGTAGCATACTAGAAAATAGCAGGAATTGCTGCATTTGGCACTAATGACTGCTTGGGTCTAATTCACCCTCTAGGGCTGCCAGCTGTAAGCCCTGCAGAGACAAAGATAAATTGAAATTGCCTGAATTTTGAAGCATGTTTCCAACTCTACATTTTATCTCCCTTCCAGGTTTGTCTTCAAATATATCCTTCCTATTAGAAATCACACTTAAACATGCAAGTTCCCTAGAATCTCTGCTAGGGATGGCACAGCACAAAACAGAATGGCTTTTTGGGGGAACTGGCAATTTAAGCAAAAGAAAATAGAAAAAAGAAAACGAAAATTACCAAAGCAAAACCAGAAAGACAAGAGAACCAATGATGTAAATGCATCTACAGCTACAAACACATTGGTGGAGTATGAGTATGAACTGCTAAGTCAGCTATATTCACACAGCACAGAAAAGGGCTAAGGAAAGTTTTAGGACTACAGAAAGAGAAAAGAAATTTTAGAGGAAAAAATCTGCAGGAGCTCTACTTTTACCTACAGCTTTAGAGGGACAGAAGAAAAGAAGTTAAGCTGTTATAAGACTATTACATGACAGATGAACTATATTTCAGTCTCTAAGCCAAAGAGCCACTCCTGTGCAGAAGCTTATCCTTAAAACTGTCATTCTTTAAGGCCTTCTATTTAATAGGGTATCACTGAAGAACGATCTTTCTTTAAAAAGATAGAACTGTGGATAAAGAAAGTAATTTAAGAGAAAGATACTTCTCTGTATAGGGTGGGTAGAACTAGATGATCTCTAAGGTCCCTTCCAACCCAAACCGTTCTATGGCTGCATGAAAGATCTGACGATGGGTTCCATGCATTAGGAAAATAGGTGAAGTTCTAGAACTGCGCTATCACAGCGCCCACAGAACGTCAGGAAGCTACAAAATAGGGCGGAAGGGACTGAATCCCCACAATAGCTCCAAAATCAGAATTATAAAAAATCATTTTAAAAGGCTTACTCGAATGAGAATCTGAATGAGGAAACTGCACCAAACTGATAATGGTGCTAATTTACATTTCACATCAGTCTCTTTTTCTTTCCTTTTTAATCTGATTAGCAAACACATAAATGCAGAATAGTGCTTATTGTTTTTACAACCATTTCTAAGCCTTCCAGTAGCATTTTATAAGGAGTTAAAGACTGCAAAGGCATTGAGGGCAATGTAAAGTGATATTCTACTCTCCATGTAATCACAGACCATGGCAATCCCTTTTGCCCTCTGCAAAGACAGGTTTTAAAATAGTTTTGTTACGTAAGTATTGCAAATTTGAAACTAAACATTAACAAAAACATACATAAACTGAATGTTTTTACAGTAAAGAAAAATTGTTTAATTCATATTTTTAAAAATTTCTACATCAAGGTTAAAGAACACACACACAGAGTTTATAAGTATCTGCCACTGTCAGTAAGGCTTATCTCCCTAATTATATTCTAATTTTGGGAAAAAAGCTGAGAGAGATCTCAGTCCTCCCAAGCTGACTAAATCCTGTTTTATCAATATAAAAACAGTTTCCTGTTACTTTTCACTTGTGACTACAACACTAACAGACTGAAGTCAAAGCCACGTACTGAAAACCCAATCATACAAACACCCAATAGACACGACAGCTTGCAGAGGCTGCTTCTCCCCATTTCTGTAAGAGCCCTTACTGTACCACATGTAGCAACCACAGGAGTTTAGATCCTCACAGCAAGTGGACAGCAGACGTTGTGGCACAACTATCATCATCTTCCATGCACAATGAGATGCCTGGGTGCTACCAAAATAACATTAGCTACTGAGGACCTGGAGACAGAGGTCAGTGTTTTAACTGGGAAACCACTTGTTGAGTATCCCCTTATGCCATCTCCTTCTCCTTTGTGCACCGCAATGACACACGTTGTTTAATCTCATCAAAATAGGCAACACTTGCATAGACAAAATAGGAGGCTCCAGAGATGCACAATTAGATTTCTGAAATCAAGCCAAATGTGAAAACATTACAGCATTACTGGGGAAAATCCAGAGAGTAATATGCAAGAGATTGAAGTTTCCACATACACACACTGCATACTGGCATCTTTAACAATTACACTTGGTAAACTGCTATACAGTGGCAATCCACATGCATAGATAAATCTTCAGCACTCGCTGTTCATAAAGTCATTTTGCAAAAATATAGCATCATACAAGAAAAGCAAGATTATTTGTATACTGCAGCACCATAATCTCTTGTGCAGATATAAACACAAGGGGAAATGTGTCAGAAGTAATACTATTTTATTACAACTGCTTTCTTTCATTTGCGCATCCGTCAATTTTAAAGAGCCATGAAAATAATACACACTAACAAGTTACTATTTCAAGAGAAGTTTCAATCTCCTCCTCAGTACAAAATATTTAGAGATGGTGCATACAGCAATCTATCAATTACAGCCTACCTAGCGAGGCAAAAGTCATCCAGTTCTCTCCAAGAAACAAACTATTTCAGTTACAAAAACACTCGCGTGTCTCTTGTTAAAAAAGAAAAGGCACACAGTAAATAGGACTAAAAAAAATGCACTGGAAAAACCTTAAATTCCTCAAATTAGCAAGCTGTTCCACTGCTCAGAATTTGGTTTAAATCTGCATGGCACTGAAACTCATACTTGGACCTACCAAAAACTCACACCTACTTTCAGCAGCAAGCAGCCCCCTTCCAGCCACGCTGCCCTCACACCAGCAACACATCCACACTGCTAGAACTCAGGGGTTTTGTGGGGCTTTTTTTTGTTTGTCCATTTGTTTGTTGGGGTTTTTTCCCAACTTAAAGAGCCTCAAGAACTGGTACAGTGTTGTTCCAGCCCAAAGTTAGTCTGTAACTAACTGTAAATTAGGACGAAGCTGAAAGGGTACACCTGCATACAGAAATAAAGTGAAGCTCTGTTCGGTCTGTACCTTTTTACCATCCATGTTTAGACATACGTGGCTTTGCTGGAGTTTAATTCTTTCAAGAATATCCAAATCTAATTAAAAGAGCAGAAACTACCATGAAATCAGAATAGGTTCCATGGCAAAAAGCTCATCTGAAGGGATGTGTTAACACTAATGAATAATTTTACTGTTCTCCAGCATCTGGGGTATATTATGCAAAGCATTCATTTTTGTTTGCTACTTAAACCATTTGAAGTGGCCGGTGGGAGGAGGCATTTTTCCTCAGCAAAGGCCATCTGGAAAACCTTTTGCAAAGCACAGAATGCACAGTCCAAACGCTCATTTCAGTTTGAAATTGTCCTTGTTGCAGAGCCCTACACAAAACTATTCTAACATCTAATTACACACTTCCAGGATTAGCTTGTATTTGACCATAATGCTTCTCTTTTAAACCGACATAGCATGTGGATCCTTAAAATACCTGATTTAACTCAAGTGCAAAACAGAGTCAAGAATTTCCGATAGCTTAAGATACCACAATAAACTTGATGGTGCATGTGCATACTGTGGGTAAAACAGGGCACACACAAAAGGCCAGCAAGCATGTGACTACTGCTTATGCTGGTTTTGGATCCACAACAGATCTGTACTCCTGAAGCTGTTGTGAGCCCCAAAAGGTTTAGGAGCCTCCTGATTCATCTATATAAATATAAATAAACCAAACACACACAGAGATTAAGAACTCTATCTTCAAACTACACTGAATATAAAGCCAGAGACAACAGGTGATCATCAGGCACATACATGAGGAAATGCAAAATTAAATTTAAAAAAGAGACAATATTAGCTCACTAGGAAGTGTTCTCAGCAAATCCACAAGAAAACCCTTAGGAGGCTTCAGGGGAAAAGTGAGTTTTGAAGAGTGAGACAGTGGAAGCCACAGCCTTAAAGACACATAAGAGAAGGTCCCATCAAAGCATCATACGAAGCACCAACAAAACAGAACTATGCTCGTGTTTATCGTGTTTCAATCCATCCAGCTGAATGGTATCGTTACCAAAATGAACGGCCTTTCCTTCCACGCTGTTCAGAGGCTGCTGCTCCCAAAGCCTCCACTGCACAAGTAGTCACAGGACCAAGGGACAACCAGCTCTGTGACTTGCTGGAAGCACAAGCCACATCTCTCTTCCAGCACTTTGCTTTCCAAAAGCAGCACCGCTCCCAGCAGAATTGGGAAACCTCTCTTAAGAGAGTCCTTGGTACCTCAGAACAACCCAACTCTCACTACACCACACCTGTATACAACACTCAATCTATAAAGAGAGAAAACCCTTGAGCACCAGAGGATATCAGGAGGTTTCCAGAGACCACAACAATAATCTCTTAGAAGCACCTAAATACATTTACTTCTGAACTCCTGTTAGAGCCTGGAAACTCCTTCAATCCATAAAAATCTCCCTCTCCTTTAACCACATCTTATGTATTCAAGGATTTTTCCAATATTTTTCCAAGTATTTCTGCCTTGAGTTCCATGGGACAGCAGCACAACTCGAAGCTGTGTTGAAACCAAAAAGCTAAAGTTTAACTTCTCAGCAGCACAAATGGTGAACAGAATTGTGAACCAAAACAAAGTTTCCCGAGAATGTTCTCGGAATTGGTTTTAGAAACTCTAATCTCAGTAGCCCATAGACGCAACATAAAAGTTAAGCTCTGACTTTGGAGGTTTCAGACACAAGCTTTAAAATATAACTATACCCAGCTGCTATCACATCCTATGACATGCTGAGACTTTACTTCATCTGTAGCTGAGATTTGGCTTTGGATTTCATGCTTGGCTCAAGTCTGGCACACTTAAATGGCTCTTACACACACTGAAGAGGAAGCATTTTGAATGAAAGTTAATATCACATTCACAACTTCCTTAAAAATCTTGTAAGGTTAAAGCATCACCCCTAACAGCACTAACTCCTGGCAGATCTCCCCATCTAGTTTCTATCATTCCTCCTTAGCAACCAACGAGCAGTTTGGCGAAGCTGTCTTACCTCGGAAAAATTAACCGCCAAGGGGATAATTCCTGCCACATAGCAGGCGATCAGCATGGCCAGGGACAGCAGGCAGATGGAGCGGAAGTCATCCATTTCGCTGCTTTCTGTCCAGTCCCTTAAAGTGAAATTCAACAGCAACTTTTCCAACTCGTCCCGCACGCCTTAACCCGTGCAGACACCGAG